GGGAAAGGCTACTGCATTGTTCTCTGGCCATCTGGTGACAATCAAGGTTCAAATGTAATTTTTTGTTTCTGCTCGTAGTTCCACCTTGAGGTAGTCATTGTAACTGTCATGTCCACTCTGGCCTTGTTCTTATCTCTTTCTTTTATCAATGATATTGATATTGAGCCTGAAGTGAGTTTGCTCACCCATTGTGCAGCAAGCCAATCTCTGACACTGGGTGTAGTGGAATAACGTAGGAATTTTATTACTGGACAGTGCTGAGCAAGTAGAGAGGACAGCTAATGTTGAAACCCCAAACTCTCTGAAAAGCTAACAGGATGGGTTTTTGTTTGGTGTTTTAGGTAGGGGAGGGGGAGCATACGGCCTTGTTTGTCAGAGCTTTCCCACCAGCCTGTGTTTGGCCTTGAGATGACTTGCAGAGAGGAGGGAGCCCATAACCTTGTTGATCAGCAGCTTTCCCACCAGCCTGCATCTCTTTGTAGGGAGGAGATAATGAAAATAGGTTCTTGCCCTTGGCTGTGTCTGTCTTCATGGAGAATAGTGGATTCTGGAGCTAGGGAGCCAGGGAGTAAGCAGGGAAGGAGTGCTTTGGTTTTAACCCCATATATGCTGTGTTTGATGTAGGGAAACCCATATCAGGGCTAGTATCAATCCCCCTCCCCATTTTATGTTTATCCCTCAATCTTGAGGCATTTGCGGTGGTGACCAATCTAGCTACTTCCTGCTGAATTGGGGCACAGGTTGTGTCATTTCACTGAACCAGTCTTTTAATAAGGTGGTGATGCAGGTAGGCTCCCAAAGTTAGACCTGTATCATGTAAGTAAGGAACCAGGTATTTAATAAGAAGTTTTTCTAGAGAAACAAAAAGAGAAAAACAAGGTTAACGGTTGGAGCAAATTGTAAACTAGTTCTTAAACCCAGGGGTCAGCCAATCAAGATTTCTAGAAGTCAGGATTGAAGCATCCTTTTGCAGTTTGAAATGTCTCTGATGGTGTCATCGGGAACTGAGGTAGCTTGTTGAGTGGCTTCCACAGCAGCAGACATGAATCCCTCTTAAGTTTATATTAAGTCCTCCAGCTTCAGTTTGCAAGGCTTCAGGAAAAGGGTAGATTTAGTTTTTAATGATTCTGAATGAAAATGATGGAAAAAACCTGAAAATGTTAATTTGGAGGTTTGTAGCCAGATATTTCAGTAGACTAGAAGTATTCAGGATCCAGTCTAGTCAACAGATGTAACAAAGATCTTAAAGGCAATTGACAGAACCAAAATCCAATATCCACAAAGGTGTATTATAGTTTTTATTGAAACATAATCTTTCTCTTTAAAATCACCCTCACTTTTATAAAGATGGCCAAATTAAGACTAACTGGTTTGCAAAATAAGTCTAGTTTTAATAAATTTGGCATCATTATTTACCTAAGTACTGCAAGAATAGTAATTGATCACATAGACTCTTTTAAATTTGCTTTGCTGGAACATTTTATAAGGAATCTCAGGTTGAATTTCAAGGGTCTCTCAAGACCAGGAAAGCCACACCAAGAACTTGTCATTAGATTTTGCCTGCAGTACCTACAGATTTGGGTGAATTCCTCTCTTTGTGAGGTTCCCTGAAATATTGAGTTTCCTTGTATCTGCCAGAAGGAATAACAGCCTTTACTCAACCTTACCGGGTTACTGAACCCATATGCAAGGTACCAGGCCAATATTTCCAAATGGCTTTATTCCATAAAGTCAACCTTTGTTCCTCAAAAGCTGTCTTCTTATATCCAAGCCTGTATTTTTTTTTTCAAATATGATGTTCTAGTCAAAGCCTTGGTATTATAACCAGTGTTTCCAATTGTGTACTGATATAAGAAGAACAAATTCTTATTGGACTTATGCAAACAACCATATTGCCATGAGAATAAGAATACCTACTCACTAAGAATTTCCAAATTCTGGAAGGCTAAGGTAGGGAGAGAAAGATAAATGCTTCAATTTTGTTTATAAATTGTTATAAATCATAGTTCCTTAAGAGAATAGAGAAAAAGGTTTTCTTAAATCTGGAAAAAAACCAAAACATCAAAAATCAGTAATATGTCAGGCAAAAAGTCATAAAAATTATAATCGTTCCTATCAGTTTATTCTGTCCTGTGTAATTGGTTATTGATCTTAACCTTCTGTTAGCAGTTTGTGAGGTCACCAGTTTCTCTGTTAGAGTTCTGTAATTTCTACCCAGTTTAGTTTTGCAATCTGAACATTTATCAGAACCTGTACTCTAGAGTAAGCACCAGAGTCCTTTCCATGAATTTCTCTGAAGATGAAACATATTTGTAAAAACATCAAAGTTAAACAACTGTTTGTAAATAACAAAACATTCAAAAATGGTAATTGACATAGACACTTGACCATTCCTATGACGTATAACATTTTGAGATCATAACCAGAATCATGGCTGACAATCAGAACAGATCAGAATTTTAGATAAGTTTAAAAATACTTATATTAATAACACTCATTTACATAATACCATTTAAGAAAGTTTATCATAACTTATTTGACAATGCTTCCCATGTAATTTAACATACCAAACAAGCCTAATTAAATAAGCATTTTTTCTTAGAGGAAGAGAGCAAATCTCTCTGAGAAGTCCCAGGGGCCCTCTGAAAATCCCCAGAGAAAATTTCCCTCCTCATCCGGGTCAAAAGAAAGCTTTTATTCAGGACTTGAATATTTGTGTGTGTGTAGGAAGCTTGTCAAAAGTACTAAAAGTTGGGGCCGGCCCTGCGGCTGAGTGGTTAAGTTCGCGTGCTCCACTTTGGCCGCCCAGGGTCTCACCAGTTCGGATCCCAGGCTCGGACATGGCACCGCTCATCAGGCCCTGTTGAGGTGGCATCCCACATGTCACAACTAGAAGCACCCACAACTAAAAGTATACAACTATCTACTGAGGGAATTGGGGGAGAAAAAGCAAAAAAAAAAGAAAAAAGCTTGGCAAGTTGTTAGCTCAGATGCCAATCTTTAAAAAGAATATATTAAAAGCTTTAAAACATCTGTTTAGACAGGAAACAAAGCTCACTGTGAAACCATGTTCAGGTATCTATTTAAAGTGACCACAGAACCAATCAAAGGGAAACAGAGTTAAAATAGTCCAAAAAACCTTTTTATAATCTTTTTATCAAGAGCAGATTACAAGTTTAGGAAAATTATCCTTTTAAGAAAGAGGAAACCAAGTTTTAATTTTGTACCAGTTTACTTTTGACATATAAATTTATTTAATTGGATTTACTTTAGTCTTAGCCAAATTGACCATGCACAAAATTTTACAGGGCTTTGCTTTCACAAACCTTTTGTTGCTTTTTTACATTCAGAATTTGTCCCAGTACTTTAGGGCAAATTTATCTTTCTTAACTCAAGAAACAAAAATATTTTTAATTTTTATACCTTTTTACAGAAAACATGTATTTTATTTTCCTTGCATACAGACCTTTTAGAAATATGTGTTTTCTCATAGAAAATTCCTCAGCATACATAAAACATGTTTATCAATAAACCCAAGTATTTTTAAATTTATTTGATGTAAGAAACCAAAGGTAGACAAATCTATGCTTAGTAGTTAACCTTTAATATTTTATCTTATGTGGAAATGACTTAGATACCCAATACACTTTTATTATTTAACTTAACTTAGTAAAGCTATAAAGTTTGTTTCCAAAAAGATTTTGGAAGCTGTTTTTTAAGTATGTAGACTATAAAACCTAATTATTGTACTTAAAAACTTTTATCCAGTTTTAATAATTATGTTTAAATTACTTTTAAAAACTTTATGTGACACTAAAGCAGTTAACCATCATTTTAAGTTGTTTTAAGTACATACATCATAATATATATAATTTATTGTTAAATACTTTTTCCAAAAACTTTTAGCCTTTTACATTTATTTAGTTTACCTGTTCTCAACAATTATATTTAGATTGTCCACAAAAACCTCATGAAACATTAAACAAAGTCAGCTATTATATTAAGTTATTAGTTTTGCTGATAAACTTTGTAACAGAGATGACATGAGCTCATTTGACCAGTAGACCCAGGCTGTATGTCTACATCATACCCAGTGCCAATAACTTTGAGGACATGTGTATTTTAAATCAAACCAGCAAACTTAGACAGGCTTTCGTTCATCAAAGATCATTTTCTATCATGTTAAATAACTTTGTCTCTTAGAAGTTTTTGCATATTAATTAAAGACTGTATTCTACTATGAGAGATTTTGAATCCTCTCTTTTCAGGTTTCCCAGAACGGTCCTTACAATTCCAAATTATCTCAAAAGTTTACATATTTTTACTTTTTCACTTTTAGATCAGGAATTTTGGGAAGTTGAAGGGAAGCTCAGCTTGCTGGGAAGCTCAGCAAGAGAGTAAACAAAAGCAGCAGATCTGAGTTGGGCTGCTGGCATGTTTAAATTATTTAATTATTTTCTCTTAAAGAGGAAGTAAAGTGTTTCTGATTTTTATTTAGAAGCCTCAAAAGATTAAAACAGGTTTCCCATTGTAGCTGGCTTTTCCAACTGCATATGTAAATACACCAGTTTGGGTGAACTGAAATTGGCCCATTTAAGTTTATCGATTTCTATAAAACTTTATCTTAGTTATACTAATGCTTAGACTTTTAATTATAACTTACATTAGAATTCCATTAACAAGTTTTGGTATTACAATATTGTGTAGGGGAAGCATTCCCAGTTAGACAGAACATTTATTCCCAAAGCAAATATCCAGGAAAAGTTGACATAACCTCTTCATATGATACTAGCTTAAACACTTTAATTTTTATGGTCTTATTAACATTAGTAGCCTAACTGTTGCCCCAAACAATTGCTGGTCAGGTTTTTCACTCTGATTTCTGCCTCCTGACCTTTTAAATTTTTCAAAGTGGGGTAAATAGAACAGGTTTGTCTGATGTCCTTTAATGTTGGGGAGCCAATGGGGGGGGTCCCTTTAGCCCATCCAACCTTAGGCAGTGTTTTATTAAAACCTTTGTTTTAAATTTATTCGTGTCTGTTTCATTTATCCCATTTTTCTTTTTAATAACTAGCTCAAGATTTTCATCCTGTTGGCGTGAGTTCTGTGACTCTTCCCTTTCTGATTTCTCTTTGTTAACTTAATGTTTTCATTAGCATCTGTAAGACAATGAGAAGAAACTGAGACCCCCCCAAGTTTAAGTTTTTAAGACTAGTCATTACATTTTTCTTTTAATTTAGTCTTTTTAGGTACCATAAAACACCTGTTTATCATGAGAGCTCTCTAAAAAGTTTCCCAACTTAAGGATCCATTGTTGGCTATTTTTCTTTCTCTGGAGTCTAAAGAGCGTTGTGGCCACGTGGTGTTACAAAAGAAAATCATCCCTCTTTAGACATTGGCTTATAGCTATAGGTTGACCAGTCAGCCAAAGTTTTTCCCAAGGGGCTCTTAGGTGGAATAGATGCGGCACCTCCCATGTTAACACTTTTAAAAGGACAGACAAACAGACAAACAACAGCAAATACCAAACAAGTGCACTTTCCCCAAAACCCTCGGCCACAAACGGAAGCCAGAATAAAGACCAAAACCAAAACCAAAACTAAAAACCAAAGTGCTTCCAGTCCCAGCTTAGTCCGTGTCCTACACTCGGTGGGCGCCCAACAAATGAAGATTTGCTATGCAGATCTTCCCAAATGAGCAAGGACAAGGGACCTCGGTTGTGCACACCCGAGGGACTTACCAAAGTCTGGCTGGGGCATCACGACTTCAAAATAAACGGAGCCCAGAGGGCTGCCAGGTACCCGTTATTTCTAGCTCGTCCTGTTGGAAAAGGTTAGCACAAGGACAAAAACAAAAACTACCAGCTACTTACAAGAGACATTTTCCTAAGTCCTGAACCTAGTTTCTTCCACCACCAAAGCAAAAGCCCCGTGGGCCAATGATGTCTGGTTAGCAGCCAGTCGCCTGGGGCTGTCCCTGAGACAAGGGGCTCAGGCAGCTGCAGGACAGCTTGCAAGAGAGGGCTTTGGCCAGAGGTTAGTGTGCAACACATGAGGCGTTGTCCAGAGTTCATTGACCTCCCCGCCTTCCAGGGACACTGGGCCTGCGCCCTACATGAAGGAATGTGTCTGGGCTTGGGGCCAAAGATGGCCACTTTGGCCCTGACTCTAAGGCACAAGTTACAAAGAGTATGTCCTGCATCATGTTCCTTGTCTGGGCTGGCCACCCCTAAGGGCATCTGACAGGACTTTAGAAACATCCCATTCGTGGGAACAAAAAAGATAGAAACACCATATCTGTGGGAACAAGAAGAAATAACTCAAAAGTATCCAAATGTCTGAAACCCTGAGTCAGAACCTAGAGAAACCTTAGGATAAAAGGGAGTCACAGGCATAGAACAATTGGGAGTCTCACTGAGGAAAGGACACTTTGCCTCAGACCCAGACAATCGGAGCTCCCACCATCCACCGTACAAACTATTGGGACTTCCCTGGCTGATTGTGGTGTGGATGTTGTAAATACCGATTTGTTGTTCCCCTTTATCCCTACTCCTTGTTATTTTCCCCTTATCAATAGACTTTGATTGCTTAAACAACCAAGTAGCCTTGGCGGTACCTGTCATTCCTTGCCCTTTGGGGCTGTAGACAACAGACGTCCACTTGGGATATGGTCCCTTCTCGGTCGCCAAATTGATATTGAACCTGAAGTGAGTTTGCTCACTCATTGTGCAGCAAGCCAATCTCTGACACTGGGTGTAGTGGAAGAAAGTAGGAATTTTATTTTTGCACAGCGCTGAGCAAGGAGAGAGGGCAGCTAATGCTGAAATCCCAAACTCTCTGAAAAGCTAACAGGATGGGTTTTTGTTTGGGGTTTTAGGTAGGGGAGGGGGAGCATATGGCCTTGCTGGTCAGCAGCTTTCCCACCAGCCTGTATCTCTTTGCAGGGAGGAGATAATGAATCCAGGTTCTTGTCCTTGGCTGTGTCTGTCTCCATGGAGAATAGTGGATTCTGGAGCCAGGGAGTAAGCAGGGAATGAGTGCTTCGGTTTTGCCCCCATATATGCTGGGTTTAATGTAGGGAAATCAATATCAGGGCTGGTATCAATATGAAAGATATATGGAAATCATAAATGTCCTGATGGTTATCTGGGAGAGGTTGAAGGGAAAACAACCGAGGAAGTATTTTTTGTTTACACAAATTTGAGGTGTGTACGGCAAACTGCTGCAATTTGATAGAGCTGGGTGGCTGGCACACCAAGGCTTAGTTGTAATTTTCTTATTCTTCTCTGTAGGTTTGAAATTTTTATAAAGATAATGGATAACTGCACCTTTAATTTTGTAGGTATTATTGCTTTTCTCTTCAAAATGAATGTCTTTGAATTTTTACAATGAGTAAGTTTAAGGAAAAATGTTAAGTAAAAAACAGTGTAGACAGGATATGGATATGACAAAATCATATGAAATTCCTAGTGCATGACTGAAGGATAGGGAATACTGATACGGTTTGCACTGTCTCTTTCTACCCCAGCTGATTCAGAGCGTCGGAATCAAATTTGAATCACAATCAACAATAAGAATGTTGATCATTGTTTTGGCATATTTATATTATTTTTCTTTGGATTGATATTCCAGCTCTCTATTCTACCTTATTATTATTTTACCGTATGTATTTCAGGACAGTGGGCACTGACGCATGCTGAACCCCACCCTGACTCCCGCAGACCTAAGTCACTTCTCCATGATCCTCTGGAATAATCCACGCTGACACTCTCAGGTAGATACACTCTCCCTACACTGGGAATTTGTCATGCCAAAGTCCTCCCATTTTAGGGTCACAATATATCAGTAAAAAACTACAATGAACACCAAATACATTTTATGAAAATTTACAAATGGATGACAAAATGTAAGTTCTCTCACTGATGGCTTTTGGATATGGTGAATTATTATTTAAAACAGTTGTGAAAGAGGTAATGCCTCAGTTGCGTAAACCTGGCTTAGTGTAAAGACCCAAGGGTGTCCTTGGCAACCTAGAATGGAATCTGCCTGCTTACAGGAAGCTGCATTGGTTCCAAAGGGCAGAAAGTGAGACTCCAAGTTCTAGGGGGAAACTAGGACCTATAAATGTGTATTTTTGAGAGAAACAGGGCTGTAAACTTCCACGTCCTCTTGTGGAAAGTTACCAGAGCTAACACATTTTATTTTATTGCAGGGCTCTGTTAAAGTTTTATTGCTTTATGTTCTACCTGAGTCCTTGGTTCATATTGGATATTTCAGAGAAAAGTCTAGGCTGCCATGGGTCCATTCGTGGAGCAATTCAAGGGGTACAAGAACCTGATTGTGGCATTGGTTTTTCTGGTTTGGGTGAGTACTACCCTTGCCTCTGCTCCTTCTGATCGCTGGCTCATTTGTTCTCTCCTCCTGCAACCTCAGGTTTGGGTTGATTATTTCTTTAATCTGGGAGAGGGGACTGAGGGAAGGTCTTGATCTCCTTACCTCTGCCCCTGTGTGACTCTAGGAGCAACAGTTGTAGGGTGGGATGTCATCCTCAGGAGGAGGGTCAGTGGTTGTGTGTTGGGGTCTATGAGGGAATACAGAACACAAACCCGGAAGCAATTGTTCCAGGAAATGCCAACGGAGGGAAAAAAAGCAATTCCCCTTGTTCTTAGTCCTCTCACCCTTCAAAGGTGTTTTCCTTTCTGCCCCAGCGTAAGAAAAAAAGATAGTCTATGATGTCCAGTTCTGCTTTTTAGCAGAAGAAAAAGAAGCACAGATTCAGAAAGAAAAAATCCCTGTCTGGAAAGAGAATGGACAATTGCCGGGACTCGACTTTGTTTTGTCTTTTGGGAGCTTGGGAATGGCACAAAGCTAAGAATGCCTCCAGAAGAAAGCCTTTCCCTGTTGTCCTTAGGTCAAAACTGGAGTTCTGGGCCTTCATGTTGCTGTAGATGGATTTTCTTTGGCCTGTTCAAACTCCCGTTGAAAACAGTTGAATGGGTTGTTAATATTTAAACAGTAGGAGATTTCACATGAAAATATTGATTTCTGGTTCCTGTTAAGTGGTTGATCTGACAAGATGGGTTCAATAAATTGGTCTTTATTCTAGGAGCATGAAGGAGCTTGGCAGGGGAAACCTCACTCTTTAACAATCAGGTCCAAAGAAAGCGTTGATTTCATTTCCTGAGTAACCTTTCCCTGTGAGAAGGAATGAGACTTCCAGATGCAGCAGCCAAAACTTTGCACCTTTACAAACAATTGAACTATAACTTACATAAAAATATATAAGTTGAAAGTGCTCAATGAAATAAAAGATAACATACCTGTGTATGTTATCATCACTCCAGTCAAGAAATAGAAATTACTGGTACCCCGAGAAGTTCCTCTTATGTCTCCTTCCCTCTCACTACCGCCCTCTCTTCTTTTCAACTATAAACATTATAGTTTACTTTTGCCTGATTTTGCATTTTATAAAATGTAATTATACACTGTGTACTCTTTTATATGTATCTTCTTTCACTCAATATTTCTGTGAGATTCATCCATGTTGTAGAATAAAGCTGCTATTTGTTAATTTTCATTTCATTATAGTATTTCAGTGTATGAATATATGAGAACTTATTTATCCATTCTACTGATGATGGACATTTAGGTTGTTTTCAATTTTTGTCTATTTCAAATATTGCTCTTATATGCAATATTTGTCCATGTCTCTTGGTGTGCATATGCATGGCTTTCTGTGGGGTTTATACCAACGAACTAAATTGCTTGGTCCTAAGATATGCTTACTTTGGTACATACTGCCAAACAGTTTTCTAAAGTGGTTTTCCCAGTTCATGCTCTCACCAGAACAATATGAGAGATTCAGTTGCTTCATATCCTCACTAACGTAGGTATTGTGTGTCTTTTAATTTTAGCCTTTCTTCGAATATGTAGAGGTATTTCATTGTGGTTTTAATTTGCATTCTTTTTCTTACTAATTCAGTTGAGCACCTATTCATGTATTTCTTGTCATTTGAATTTCTTCTATTATGAAACGCCTATGAAAGTATCTTCTGTCTATTTTAAATTGGGTTGTCTGTCTTTTTCTTATTAATTGTCAGGAATTCTTTGTAGATTCTAGATACAAGTCCCTTCATTTTTTACATATGTTGCAACTATCTTCTCCAGCTCTGTGCTGTGTCTGCCTTTCACTCTAATAGCGTCTTTGATCAAAAGAAATTATTTTTTATTTTTAAATTTTATTTTATTATGATCTCACAATGTGAGATCTACCCACCTAACAATATTTGAAGCATATGGCACAGTATTATAGGTACAGTGTTCTATAGCAGATGTCTAGAACTTACTCATTTTGCTTACCTGAAATTTATGCCCTTACCCCTCTTCCCAGCCCCTGGAAAACACCATTCCATACTTTGATTCTATAAATATGACTATTTTAGATACTTCATATGAGTGGAATCATGTAGCATTTGTCTTTCTGTGACTAGCTTCTTTCACCAAGCATAATGTCCTCAAGGTTCATCCATGTTGTCTCATATTGCAGAAGTTCCTTCCTTTTTTTTTTCTTTCAGGAAGATTAGCCCTGAGCTAACTCCTGCTACCAGTCCTCCTCTTTTTGTTGAGGAAAATTGGCCCTGAGCTAACATCTGGGCCCATCTTCCTCTATTTTAAATGTGGGACACCTGCCACAGCCTGGCTTGACAAGTGTGTTTAGGTTCACACGTGGGATTGGAACCAGTGAACCCCATGCCGCCAAAGGAGAGCGCACGAACTTAACGGCTTTGCCACCGGGCCGGCCCCTTTTTCCTTTTTTTAAGGCAGAATGATATTCATTATATGTACATACCACATTTTTTAATCCATTTATCTGTTGACGGATATTTCCACATCTTGGCTATTGTGAATAGTGCTGTAATGATCATGGGAGTGGTAATATCTCTTCGAGATCCTGATTTCAATTCTTTCAGATAAATACCTAGAAGTGGGATTACTAGATCATATGGTAGTTCTGTTTTTAATTTTAGGAGGAACATCCATACTGTTTTCCATAATGACTACACCATTTTTCATTCCCACCAACAGTGTGCAAGGGTACCAATTTCCCCACATCCTTGCAGACACTTCTCTTTTGTTTTTTTGTTTTTCTTTTGATAATAGCCGTCCTGACAAGTATGAAGTGATATTGTGGTTTTGACTTGCATTTTCCTGATGATTAGTGACGTTGAGCATCTTTTCGTATACTTGTTGACCATTTGTATGTCTTCTTCGGAGAAATGTCTGTTCAAGTCCTTAGCGCATTTTCTATTTGGGTTATTAGTTTTATGTTGTTGTGGTTATTGAGTTGTTGGATTTTCTTATATATTTTACAGATTAAGCCCTTGTCAGATATATGGTTTGCAAATATTCTCTCCCATTCTTTAGGTTGCCTTTTCACTCTCTTGATTCTTTCTTTTGCTGTGCAGAAGCTCTTTGGTTTGCTGCAATCTGACTTGTCTATTTTTGTTTTTGTTGTCTATGCTTTTGGTGTCATATTCAGAAATATCATTGCTTAGACCAATGTCAGGAAGCTACATCCTTGTTTTCTTCCAGTAGTTTTATGATTTCAGGTCTTAAATTTAAGTCTTTAATCCATTTTGAGTTGATTGTGTATATGGTGTGAGATAAGGGTCCAATTTCATTCTTCAGCATGTGGATATCCAGTTTTCCCAACACCACTTGTTGAAGAGACTGTCCTTTCTCCATTTATGTGTTCTTCACACCTTTGTTGAAGATTAGTTGACTATGGATGTGTGGATTTATTTTTGGGCTCTCTATACTATTCCACTGGTCTATATGTCTGTTCTTATGTCAGCACCACACTGTTTTGATTACTGTAGCTTTGTAATATTTTTTGGAATCAGGAAGTGTGATACCTCCAGCTTTATTCTTCTTTCTCAAGACTGCTTTGACTATTTGGGGTCTTTTGTGGTTCCATAGGAATCTTAGGATTGTTTTTCTATTTCTGTAAAAAGTGCTATTGGGATTTTCATGAGGATTGCATTGAATCTGTAGACCACGTTGGGTAGTATGGACATTTTAACAACATTAATTCTTCCAATCTATAAACATGGGGTGTCTTTCCATTTACCCGTATCTTCTTTAAATTCTTTCATCAATGTTTCATAATTTTCAATGTGCAAATCTTTCCTCTTTTGGGTTAAATTTACTCCTAAGTATTTCGTTTATTTATTTTTTGTTGCTTTTTGAATGGGATTGTTTTCTCAATTTCCTTTTCATGTAGTGCATTGTTTGTGTATAGAAATGACTGATTTTTGTATGTTGATTTTGTATCCTACAACTTTGCTGAATTTTTTTTTATTGGTTCTAACAGTTATTTTGTTGAGTTTTTGGAGTTTTCTACATATCTATATTATTAAGAGTTTAAATCATGAACGGATATTGAACTTTATCAAATGCTTTTACTATGTCTATTGAGATGATCATGTGGTTTTTTAATTGCATTCTGTTAATGTGAGGTATCACATTGATTTGTGTATGTTGAACCATCCTTGTATTCCAGGGATAAATCGTATTTTGTCATGGTGTGACATCCTTGTAATGTGCTGTTGAATTTTGTTTGCTAGGTTTTTTTTTTTTTTGGTGATGAAGATTGGCCCTGAGCTAACATAACATCCATTATTGATCTTCCTCTTTTTGCTCGAGAAAGATTGGCACTGAGCTAACATTTGTGCCAATATTCCTCCATTTTGTATGTGGATGCTGCCACAGCATGGCTTGATGAGTGGTGTGTAGGTCTCTGGCTGGGATCCAAACTGGCAAACCCCAGGCCACCAAAGTGGAGTGTGTGGACTTGACCACTACGCCACTGGCCCAGCCCCGGTTTGCTAGTATTTTGTTAAGGATTATTGCATCTATGTTTATCAGGAATATAGGCCTGTAGTTTTCTTTTTTGTGGTGTCTTTGTCTGGCCTTGGTATCAGGGTGGCGCTGGCCTTAGAAAATAAGTTTGAAAGTATTACCTCTTCTTCTAATTTTTGGAAGAGTTTATTTGAAGAGGATGGATATTCATTCTTTTTTGAATATTTGGAGGAATTCACCAGTGAAGCCTTTTGGTCCTGGGCTTTTCTTTGTTGGTATGTTTTTGATTATTGATTCAATCTCCCTATTTGTTATTGGTCTGTTCATGTTTTCTATTTCTTCTTGATTCGTTTTTGGTAGTTTGTATATTTCTAGGAATTTATCCATTTCTTCTAGGTTATCCAATTTGTTGGCATATAATTTTTCATAATTGTCCCTTATGATCCTTTTTTATTTTTGAGGTGTCCATTGTAATGTCTCCTCCTTCATTTCTGGTTTTATTT